TAAATGAGCCAAGCCAACGCTAAGTCGAGTAAATTTTACGCAAAACACACAAATACACAAATCCTAAGGGCCCATCTGTAATTTACGCCACATGAAATTAGTGATTTTTGATCTCTCAGTCATAGTCAGTCACATTTATGAGTCACCTCCTTCCTATACATGGGGCCATATATGTTTAAATTTGAACTATGGAATATTTTTGCTAATAGTTCAAATTTCGTGGTTGAATGATAAAAATACGAAATAATGATATCTCGGGACAATCCAGACAGCGCCCTCTAATCGCAATCTGAGCTAGAGCTTGTGTTATGTGTACTACACAGCTGATAGATACATATACATTGTAAATACATAAATAATATACATAGAATACACCCAAACTGCTACAAACAGTCATACTCATGAATACAAAATGTTTGTACCGTTCGAGGAATCGAAACCGCTACCAACCAAGTTAAATCGCTAAACCAACAAGACCGTCTTACTTATTTACTTTTGAAATTTTATTTATTTAATTTATACATTTAATATGCATATATTTATGTCTATATTCACGTCCAGAAGCACTGGGTCCGTAGCAGTGCAGTGATGTGCAGTGGCTCTGGACCGGACAATCCGACATATTTGTTTTGGAGGCTGTTTGCGCTCCCACGAATTCTACACATCACTGAAATGTGACGTCACGAATTATAAATCCCTTATCACACAATGTTACAATTTATGGGTGGTCCCTGATGAGTAATAATTTTGCTAAGCGCTTCTTAAATCCTATTACGTTGATTAAAAGCACATTGTTTGTTTAGTGACTAGATAATCCGTTTCACGCAGTGATTCATGAGTTCCTGGATTATATATGTACCTTCTCGACTATAATCACAGATGGGGTATATAGTCAGTTGCATTATCGAAGTCGACAAACAGAAGAGCGTGACACTTGATATGTCTACATTACATTGCAGTGGCTAACCGCCCTTTTCACATTAATTTTGTTTAAATTCTATAATTAACTCTTCCGAGTCAATAATGTAAATGACACACAAAATTTTGTAAAATAGAATAGAAATATTATATATTCAAATAAACTTAATGTGAACATTTTGGAACAGTCATATTATTTTGTTCTACTATTCTGAAAGCAGATTCATCACACAGTATACTTAGATTGTGGATTGAACTTCCGAGGTTTTCTCGAGAGACTACAGCATGGTATTTTTTTAGGAAGACTATTTTGAGGTTTCTTAAGGGTCGGCAACGCACATTTGACACCCCTGGTGTTTCAGACGTTTATAGACTACAGTGACCGTTTACCATCAGATGAGCTGCATGCTTGTTTGCCAACGTCGTCAAAAACACAAGAAAACTGAGAAAGGAAGTTACTTTTTGGTTATTTAAATAAATGTTGTCAGCATTACATTTCTATGGTTTTTGTTGTCGATTAGATTGGAACTTAAGACATTTGCAGTCGGAGAATCAAACCACTAGATTACTATGTTTTCTGGATTATAATGTAACAAATTGTCATAACAGCCTCTATCCAATAGGAACGCAAAGGCAAACTAATTAGATAAGTTAGAACATTTCTCTTACTCATTAACGAATCTTTTGGTTTGTTTTCTTTAGGACTTTTCCTTGTTCGTACATATCGTGTATATATAAATATAAAAGAGATAATTAGAGAAATTGATTTGAGTTATTAAAAGTATTAATATACTTTTAATTGCTAAGCTATAAAATATATATACCTAGCTTAGTAGGTGATATAATAAAAAAAAGTTTAAGCTAGTTTTTATTTTTTGTTGAGTTTATGCATTATATAGCTTAATACTATATAATAAAATAAATTATATAGGTCATTATAAGAAGAAGAGTATAGTTTTGTATGTTCACAAAATTATCCTCTTCGTCTTTGTAATATTAGTATGGATAAAAAAAAAATATACAGAATATTTGAACTTTTAATTACAACTTACATACATGTATCATTCTCTTATTTATAACGGTTTATGTGATATATTTATTTGCATAATATTATGTGCATTATTCATCCCAAAATGGGATTCCGTATTTATCTATACCTACTTACCATATAAAATCCTTTGACCAGACTGTCATCACAGTCAGCACTCTAAGTGAAGTAAACAGATATTGCTGTAGAATACATTCCTAGTTCATATGATATTTCGTGAAGTAAAACTGGGCTCACATTATCAGGTTCGGATCGGTCGGCTCGTGTTGACGACGCTGTTCAATAGGCTCATTGATCACTACGCCCCGCCCACTTTGGAAATGCGCCAATCGAACTACGTCAAGACACGGAGCGTTCGTACTGAACCTAGTAATGTGAGCCTAGACTAAACATCCTTTAACAAAAAAATGTCAAAAATTTTACTTATTTCACCAAGCGTGGTAAACCATAGACAACAGCCAGTTCTTACTAAGATTTCGCAATCGAATTGCAAGAATATTCAATGTTTCCTAATTAAACGTATATACACTCGTACAGTCATGTCCTACAATAACAACCCTGACCTCAAGTTTTGAAGACAAATATCACATGGTGTGTAGAATATTCAACGCTGAACAAATAATTATATTGTAGAACATTGGTGGCGGTCGCAATTGCGGTCTAATATTTATTTTGGTTCGCCTCACCTCAACCATTTCAATATTTGAACAGCTCCGTACTGTCTTACGTTGTTACTTATAACTTCAGGCATTGTGTTTTAGTCGATACAATTAAGTCTTTGGGAAAAGGAGGTTCTTAATAATGTGGACTAATTACCTGATTGCTAGTGAAGTCCATGTCAGGTTGATCTCTACGTGGTTCGAATTAGAAACCAATAAATTCCACGGTCAATTGGCCACTACGGGCTAACTGACCGAACCTCGAGCTCATCATAACATCTTCCACTGGTGCCCCAGTGTAAACCGTTAGCTCAGGCGACGTCCTGACTTTTCTATTATCATCCATTAAAAAAATATAAATCTTTATTAAGTAAGTACCTATTTACAACGTATATGGTTGGATTATGATTTTAAACGCCGAAAATGGGGGGGAACGGGGATTGTTAGTAATGTGGATTGATGATCTTATAGCTAACAATGTACCATGTCTAGTTGACCTCCACGCGGTTCTCCCTGGAAACCATCGTGATAAATTCTTGGTGAATATGTCACGATGGGCTAACTGACCTGACCATAAGGTTATGCTCATCTTATCATCCTCCACTGGTGCCCCGCCAGCGTAAACCGTTAGCGCAGGCGGGTACACCATTCCATTATCATCGTGAAATATGATATGGCAAAAGTGGGAGTGAATAAAGAGATAACTGCGAACAGGGATGAATGGAAGAGAAAAACATATAACATCTGCCCCAAATGAATGTGATAGTAAGAAGCAGACGATGAAGTAAGTATTTATAAGCGACTCGCCTTATCTTTGCACGGGTGCAGTAATTGTATACATTTCAATTAATCAATTCCTATCTTGTATTCCGAAGAATATAAAAGTAAATTATTAAAATTTCTTTGTTATTAAACATACTTTTTGCATTGTGGTTGAAGAAGTACATAATTAATACATTAATATTCGGTCTTTTATGTATGTCCATAGAAGGCCAGTACGATGACCTAAGTGGATGAGTTCATAACTTACCCGCAGCTTTTAGTCACTAACCAATATCCCCAAGTATCATATTTACTGAGATGACATAATGTTTCTTGTTTCGCAAGCCTTGGGTACAAGTGGAGTTATGTTCCAGTTGTATTATCATTGTTATTTGATATCTTGGCAACTAATACAAATATATAAATGTTATTTTATGGAACTATAATGGTTATGGTCCCCCTGGTATACTGTAGCATCCAGGTTATCCCATTAATTGGGTTTCGAAGCGAAGTTGAAACGGTTTAGACTGTAAAATCTAATTTCGGTCGGAAAAACAAAGCCTAACTTTTCGGCTTTTATGATAATAACGATAGTGTATTACGGAATAGAATAGAATAATATTTCATTCTAATGCATATACATCTAAGAATAACGTATTTTTTTCCTGTAGCGCTTTTAAAAAAATATATAATTCAAATTTCTAAGATTTTGTGTGAACACAAACTACCACGAATCCATAAGAGTTAAAATATTAAACGTATTAGTTAGTTTATTAACCATGTAAGCCCTTTTGAATAGTAAATATTTGTTCCAATCAAACAGCCAAGAAGAATAAGCTAGAAATTTGACTGAAGCCCTTTTAAAAACATATTATTCTAATTTACATTTCTAAGATTATATCTGAACACAACTAACACAAGTACCATGAATCCATAGTTAAAATATTAAACATATTAGTTGATTGTCAGAAACCATGGTATCAATACAATACGAGCTACGAACCGAAAACCATTAATTATTCCTAGAGTTATCTAGTTAGGGTTCCAATCAAGGAGGGACCGGATGGGCGTGGTATTTACTGAATATGTTACAATACATACATAACGTAGCAATATTGTTCACTCATTGTAAATGAACTAGATATACTATCTATATTCAAATATTACATACATGTAAAACGTTTCATTTTTAAACACAGTGGTCACTTTTAAACATTGTGGATGGATGTTTGTTACTCTTCACGCAAAAAGTACTGAACGGATTTACGAAATTGTACGGTAATATAGTTTATACATCAGAATAACATATAGGCTATAATTTAAAAAGATATTATGTACATTGTGCGAAATATATAGCGGTATAGTACACTGCTTTCAGTCCTATGGTCGCGGGTTCGATCACACGGTGCAACCGTTAGTATTCATGTGTATTTTGAGAATGGAAATTCTTGTAAAAATTATCATACCAGGTAATTTTTACAATGTTTTCCATTTTCAATTTCCTCAATGAATAGGAGAAGTGTCTGAAATAAACTGGTATTTTTGTAGAGTTACCTCAGAAATTTATTAGACGTGGGGTCAATATATTTACAATATTTTGTTTTTATTTTCAGATTTGATCACTTCGCTTAGACTTATGTTCGAGCGGTGAACATCCCGGCCGATTGTTCTCGGTATGTACTGTATATACTATTGTAATCATTTATAACGGCTTTGTCTACTCGAAATGGTAAAATTATTTTGCTTAGTGTCAATATAGGAAAAGATATTTATTTAAGAAAAGCAAATATTACAAATAATAATAATACAAAGGAAAATTCACACAGCACAAATAAATCCCATTTTAAGTAGAACTTGTAACAAACATAAATTTTATAAGAAAAACATCATGTTTCTATAGTCAAACAAAATAGAAACACCCCGTTTTAGTTTTGTTTAAAATAACCATGACCATCGAAATATAAATACAATATCGCCAGACCACTGAACTAAAGACTTAGTTCAGTTTGTCTGGCGATATTAATAATCGATGATAATAAACCAACTTATGAGTAACAACTGATGTACCGTAGGTGTTATGCTAAAAAGAGATGATAATAAACCAACTTAAGATTAATTACTGAAGTAACATGTTATGCTAAAAATCGATGATAATAAACCAACTAACGTAACAACTAAAGTAATATGTTATGCTAAAAATACATGATAATAAACCAACTGAAGTAACATGTTATGCTAAAATTAATAATGGTGTTCGTTAAAGGACACCACATAATTGTTTTATCCCATTTGCGCAAAGTAATTTGCATAAAGTCGAACGCTCAAACTATGCTAATACCCTAAACGTTGGTAGGAAATCGAATTACATATTAAATTCAAGTTCATTCATGTTACAAAGGAACGTTTCCAAGTCACTTGTGGTGTTTAAACGTGGCACGCAGTTTATATCTTTAATTAATAGACAGTAAAGTTTAATTTCTCATGCGTGATTATAGAAATCTGTATAATATTCGGTACCGAATTCTCGGTGGGGTATTTTAGGTGTTCCAAACACGCTATGATTTTCAACTGTCACGATATCATGATTTAGACTGATGACGTACAATAGGAAACGACGGTTTTAATGGCTTAGAAGTTATTGGTAGTTTTTTTCCCCCAAGTGAAATTTTCGCGTGTATTTCATAAATTTTATATACCTCTATAAGTAATATATAAGAAAACAATATGCACACGAACTGTGCCGTAGTGGTATAACACTGTTTCACGTCTTATGGTTGCGGATTCAATACGTCAAAATTTGTCTTCTCATTTATTCTCAATTCTCACTTTATGTCCTACTTCAGTAGTCAAACAGCTTGTTTTGTTGTTTCGGTTGTATGAGGCAGATTGAATTAATTAATAATAATCTTATACATAAAATTCTCGTGTCATAATGTTAGTGACCATACTCCTCCAAAACGGCTTGACCGATTTTTATGATATTTAATTTAAGAAAGTAGGTCTAATAATAGATGATTTCTTTTTCATACCCGAAGTGTCTACCCCTAACATTTTTATTTTGTTTTATGTACATATTTTTTTTTATAATGTAGATTTACAAAATGCATACAACCCTAAATTTTCACCCCCTACCATCAACCCCTATTTTTTATTAGCGATTTTAATTTTTATGGGAAAATAATGTTTGCGGGGTCAGCTAGTGATTTATAATATGACTATTTACTTGATCTCTACATCAACATAAAAAAAGTGTGGGTACAAAAAATTATATTGTGTATAGCAAAATATTTGCAGACATTTATAATAATAATCGCAAAAGAGCAACGTCCCATGTTTTCTAATGGTTGCCTATATTCATTCAGATTGCCTCTAAATAACATAAATTTATGTGTAGGGTTGTAGCTTTGAGTAGTTGTAAATTATATATATTGTAGTTATAGATTATATGACATATATAATCTACAACTAGAGATATTCAATATAAATATATTTTCATTGTCATTGTAAAAACACTTCAATTTTATTATAATTTAGTTAATATTTTAATAGATAGTTTTCTAAAAAATATATTGCAATAATTTTGTCATGAATTTTTGAAAATGCTTGATTTTTCTTTAACCAAACTACGTATATAATTATATAATAACTAATATTTCTCAATCTGATTGTCATTTTATCCCGCTGTCTATTTTTAAACAAATTATTACATTTAAACCTAGAAACCCTACCAACTAGAATATATATAGCACTTTTAACTGTCTAATTCGTGAAAGCATCATGGCCCATTGGTACTACCGCGACTTTGACCAAAAGATCGTGATCTCGAATCTGGCAACAAAAATGTTGTAACTCCCGGGTGATATCATTATCATTACATAGTAAAAAAAAATTACTGTCGCTGTCTGTCTGTCCCTATGTATGCTTAAATCTTTAAAACTACGCAAGGTGTCACTACACTATTTATTAAAAAAAACAGCTTTAAAATCCATTGCGTATTTTAAAGCGGGTTTTTTTTAATAAATAGTTTAGTGACACCCGGGCAAAGCCGGGGCGAGAAGCTAGTAAACATCTATAACAAACCAAACCAATCCGAGAGACGACTAAGCTCATCTCCTGGAATATCCAATTCAATATAACGAAGCAAATGTGGACATGACAAGTGGTATGTTCATAAACGTTACTATATCTAGAATAACAACCATGTATAATTCCAAACTTCAATTTATCGTCAGACAACATAATTTATCTTAGTTTGGACAACCCTATTCAGGCTATCTATTCCAGTTCACAAGCTGTATGGACCGGGGAGCAAGTTATATAGGAAGGAATAGTTCATCGACTTCTTGGAGAGAGGCCAGGATACGATTTAATTCAGCTTTAGGTTCATTATTATGGTTCTGAACATTTTGAATGTATTCACTATCCTTTTATTATGCTTTTCTCTTTTGTTCTTTTTTTGTTCTCTTTTATTGTATCCGGGCGGATATGATTTGCTAGGTCTAAATTAAAAAATATATGACTTTTCTTTCCTTTTTTCCTTTAAATAAATAAAATAATATTAATATGTAATTCCTTACTGCTGTAGTAGTTGGTACCACTTCGTTTTTCCAGAATATTTTAGCCACGCACAACCATATTGTGAAATCACTTACCAGCAATGGTATTTCCGAACCGATACGATATTTAAACATTCAAGAAAAGAGCTCATTCCTTCTGAAAAGGCAAGCAACTCACTTGCAATTCTTTTAGTATTGTGGGTGTTTATGGGCAGCGGTAATAACTTAGCATCAGGTGAGCCGCACTATATACGTATTATAAAAAAAAGTATTTTTATTAAAATATTTTTTTACTGTATATGAATCACTAACGACATTAAACGACACACTATTCTGTTAAGGAGTGCTTCTTTGTATACTTGTATAGGTATTTTAGAAGTAGAAAGTTAAAGGGTATAAAAACAACGGTGTTTTATACCGGTATATCGTTTTTTAGTTTTAATGAACTAATTTTTGTAGAAGATATATAGTATACAATTGAGTGCTAAATTAGTCCAGTTCATCACAGCACTGGTTTCCCTGGAGAAGGCTGTCTCTAAGGCGTTTCTATATAGATAAAGATTACACTGCAATCCTTAGGAATCGGGTAAAATAATTAGAACGGATGCTAAGAGATGATTATTACATAGCACAACTGATTCAATTAAACGAGCGGGTGATACCAGTTTTATTATAATCTTGCTTCTTTGAAATTGAACTGCGAAGAAGCCAACAGCTAGAGTAGTGTTGAATATTAGTCGAGAGTTTGTATAAAAAAGTTGGAATATTTCACTTATTAATTAAGAGCTGTCCCCGCGGTTTCGCTTGTGTGTAATTTATAACCTATTAATTATTCTGATGTATAAGCTATATTATTGTAAAGTTTCATCAAAATCCGTTCAATACTTTTTGTATAAATGAATAAGAAACATCCACCTATCCAAACATACTCACAATTTTTTTTCGCGTAATATTAGTAAGATGCAGTAGTTCCATTGTCAACTTTCGATGTTGTGATGCACAACACTTGACATTTCAGAATAAATTCACTAATCATAAAGAAAAGATATATAAGTTGGAGTATAGTATATATAAGATATATATGGATTTGTATTATACATAGCTTATAAGGCTATAGGCAGGCATATCTTTCATATAAAAACAACAGCTTCTTCAACACTATTGTTGTGTGAAGGGCATCACACAAACTAACAAAAAACAATCAAAACCGTACATCTAAAACCGTACCACGAGAACTCACTTTCAAGCGAGCGAGCGATAAGACGATCAGGTCTCACCTAACGCACCTTTCTGACTGGGATTCTAGTTATTCATATTTTTAATTTAAATAGCAAGCTATGGGATTTTCTATAAATCATTTTGTAGTTACAGATAAGAGCCAAGTTGTAGAGTTCGCAATTGCAACTGTTACTGAGTCTGTATATAACGACAAAATTGTAAACATTTCAATCGAAGGAGTCTTATTAGTAACATTGTTACTTAATGAAAGCCAAGGTAAACACGTGCTAAATCTGTACAGATTCTTTACTCAGTGCATGTAGTTAAATGAAAATATCCTAACGGACTCACATACATGTAATACTGGCCACATTTAGACGTTATTGTCAAATCTTACTCTTAGAATATCTCTTATTTTTTAAGTCTCTCCCCATAAAAGACGAGTGACAGATGTACTTGCCGCCTGCGACGTCCTGAAAATAAAAACATATGTTTACACATATTATTACTCCGTTGTCATAGAGAAGTAAGTATTTAGAAGATTTACTGTTTAATAATCAGTATTATAGTATAAGCGAATATTTAAATGATATATTTTAGTTTTTATGCAATATTGTAATATTTAATACTATATGTATTAATAATAGTCAATTATATGTTATAAATAGCTGTACACGCGACTTCGTCTGCATGGAGTTTAATTTGTTTTACTAATATAAGAGATTTTTTCTAAAATAAAAATAGCCTAAGTTATTCATTATTACATAAGCTACATAAAAAAAAAGTCCCGTCAAAATAGGTCCAACCATTACAGAGATTAGCCGGAACAAACAGACAGACAGACAAAAATTGTAAAAAATGTTATTTTGGTGTATGTACCGTATTTATATTCATATGCACATAGTAAAAACGATTATTTCATTATTACAAACAGACACTCCAATTTCATTTATATCTATAGATTAGTTATAATAATAATTTTGTTATGTTTGCGTGCCCTAACAGGGTCCATAATAATCTAAAGCCAATTATGAACAACTTTCACTGTAATATTATGGAATGCAGTAAATATTGAGTATTGAAGTTCATTAGAGTAACATTACTTAATTAAACAACTCGAAAATACAAGTAACCATTATTTACAATCGAGTACCCATAGTTACGTTTTTCTATTTCCAAGCAGACTAAAACTCAAGGCGGGACCACTCGTTTTCAAGACTCTTTCCAAAGAAACGTCTAAAGGGAACCCACATCTCCGGGTTTTATGTCAACGCTGCATACAACCTTTGCTATCCTCGCTTTATTTATAGAAGCACACTCGTTTCTAGTGTAGACTCTACGTTGAAAACTAAGAACTCTTTCATTTCGAGTCGTGTATATGCAAGAAAGCGGAGAAGGCTAAGATTAACTTGAAACACGAAACTTTAATCTTGTATATTATTGCTATTATTTATATATCTCACTCGATGTTTCGGTCACGTTATACAATCTAATGAAGGTAGTTGGACAAACTACTGAAACCTGCCAACATTGATATCGCTATATTCCAGTCGTCTTCCCACGTCTAGTGCAACATAGTTGAAACTTCATGAGAGGTAAATACATTATTTACCATTATTTTATTCGTGTTAAGACCCGATTAACTTTCATTATCAATACGTGAAGCAAAAAGTTTGTACTTTCTACAAAAAGGGTTAGAAACGGTTTGCGCGGACGAGTATGAATTTTCGCACACTTATAGTTTATGGAGAGAAGGAGTGCAGAATGTTTTATTTTTAATTATGTATAAAAAATACATTAAATCTAGAAAAAAATAATTACACACACTACCGTGGATTAGACACACCCACTAATCTCTTTTGTTTAATTGTTATTGCTGGTACAAAGATAATTTTTTACTTTTTACGGCACGGTTCGGCTCATCTGATGATAAATGGTTTTTTGCTACGATAACGATTTACCATCAGATGGGCCGTATGCATGTTTAGTACTATAAAAAAACATAAAATAATTAAGAATGACTGTGGCACGATAATGCTGCACCTCGTTTTCATCGAACCTTGACGGTTGCACCCGAAAATTGTAATGGCGTCACGGTCTGAGATTGCATTTAGCACAACCTACATGTTTACCTACCTTGATTATAGTCTTTATAGTACGATGACATACTCGGGGCGATGTCCTATTCCTTTGTAATAATAATATAATAGTAATAATATCTAATAGACAACTCACACAGCTCCATCTAGTCACAAGATAAGAAGAGCTCGTGTTATGGGTACTAGACACTGATATAAATACATATATATTTTTTTGTAAACAAAACAAATCAGTACAAATCATCATATTTATGAATACAAATGTTTGTACCGTATGAGGAATCTAACTCGCGATACCGACTGCCGTATATTAATATAAGGATATATAAAAAGGATACATCAGATTCTTTTTATATAAACGAACGTGAAAGATAAAGAAGTCATAACTCAAGAATTTCCTCTGAATCTCATTCTGTTGATTAAATACCAAGATCCCTGAAACAAACAAGGAGGAAATATTGCGAAGTTATATCATACTTTATGAGAGGTGTTACACCCCACCTGCGTTTATTTCTGATTAAATTTGTTTGCTTCCTAATATTCCGCGTTTATTGCTTCGTTATATTATTATTGAGCTTTCAAGGTCCGGAAGATGTTTGTTAGTACTCACTGCTGAATGCTGAGTATGAATCTTTCATCTTTATTCGCGAGGTTATTTCCAACCCCGATTATATTTGAGTTTATTTTATTTATCGGTATTTCTGTAGTATATGAAATTCTCTAGCGAATAACCTTACTTTCCTATGAGTCATCATTGGGTTTTCAAATGTTTTTAAAAATAAACTACTACCCATGTAACAAATTCATAATCATTACATACTATAAAACAAAGCCGCTGTCGCTATCTGTCCGTCCCTATATATGCTTAAATCTTTAAAACTACGCAACGGATTTTGAAGCGGTTTTTTTTAATAGATAGACTGATTCAAGAATAAGGTTTATAATAATACATGCACACCCGTGCAAAGCCGGGGCGTGTAGTTAATTAATGAATAAAAAAGCCTTCCTAAAATAGCAAGAATATTACATGCATTTCCTAATTATTTATATACATCCAGATCCATCTCCACTTTTATTTATTCTATTTGTTAATTAAATTAATTTATTATTTCTATTATGTTGTTGTATTCACGTTCATTATAATATTATTAGCATGAAATAACATTTAACATGTCATTAGTTTATTTCTTTTTTATTTATGTATCCATTTAGTTATCTTCAATACAGGCCTCTTCCAGCCTTCTCCACTTGTCGCTTTACCAAGTCTCGTCCAAGAGCGCCCCACAACTTTAATGATGACGTCGTTCCAGCGTTTTTTAGGATCGCTAGTTAATAATAAGAATCATTTTTAATGTACCTTAGTAGTTAGTTCGTTAATTAGTACTTCTTTTTTTGTGATATTATGAAAATGATTGGAAACGTCAAATAAATCTATACAACTACTAATCTAATCTAAATCTCTATCTAAATTTTATTGAATGTTTTAAAGCACAATTTAGTTGAAATGAGTTTGTAGAGAGTTTGTTTTATGAATTAATTGGTTTCTAAACGTAATATTACTTGTATATAATTGAATTTACTAGTTATGGCACTTCTTTGTATTAGTTTAATTCGTTCTTTGTTTAAAAATAATGTACATCTTTCTAACAACACATGATCAGGTAATTTCTTCTTTTCTACGCATATTTACATTATTCTGTAAAGTGTGTTGTAATAGCTATAATATATAAATATAAAAGTGAAATATCTTTTCAAAAACAATATTAAATTTCTTTTTGGATGTTAAAGTCTCGTACAAAAATCCAAAACTAAAACAAACACCTAAAAACTAAAGCAAATTTATTTTATATTTATCAACATAAATAGAAATACTTAGCTCCTGAAACATTATAATTTTGTCAAAACTCATTTCAGGTGCTATAATTCACGCCAGTACTTTGAAACTGTTTAAGTGGTGTAACAAAGTAGAGACGTCTAGCGGGAACAAAAGTAGTAGAATATCTTTGAGTTAATATTTGTAATGGAGATACCATTACAAATATTATTATTTACAAGTGAATATTTATTACTCCAAATTTACCGACTCCAAAAAAAAGAGGACTGGATTCTCAAGTAGGGTTGAACTTTTGTTATTTGTTACTTCATTACTCCGAAATTTATAAACCGATTTAAAAAAAATCTTTAGTTTATTTGAAAGAGTATTATACTTTCTGATTGGTCCCAATTTTGTTTGAGTTTTTGAAGTTGTTGTTTTAATAGAATTAACTCTATGCGGTCCTAAACTTTTCATCCAATTTTGATGAAACTTTGCTGATTTATTCTGCATACAACGTCAGAGGTTTCTGGCATGAAAATCTATGTGTGTGTACGTCCTTATATTAATCATCAAACAATAGACATAAAATTAGGCAAATACGTTGTATTTGAATGTAGGATAGAAATGAATATATAATTATTCAATTATATTCCAAGTAACAGAAGTATAGTTGCAAGCAGAAACTATTCATAAATAAAAAAATATACTATTAATTTAGACAAGACAGGTAAGCTAATTAAATGCACCATTAGACATGTTTCTGATTAGTTTTCGGTTAGATCTCACAAACGTTAGTCTGCTGATACCAAATTGACTACAACAAGGACAATTGCCCGTACACCCAGATATTGATTAAAAACTTAAATGTTTAAATACACCATTAGACATGTTTAAATTAGTTTTCGGTTAAATCTCTCAAATGTTGATACGAAATTGGCTACATTCATTCATTTATAATTTTAGAGCTGTGCTCTTGTCGCTGGGGTCTCGCCACCTTCCACGTTCTTCTATCAATCTTTTTAGCTGTTGATACAACACTACTCCAACTTTTTCTTTAACTTGTTTGATATAGCTGTTTCTTGGTCTTCCCCTTCCTCTCTTTCCATCTATTTTTCCTTCGATAATGTTATTAATTAGTTCCGTCGTGTCGTATCAAGTGCCCAATATTTTTCCCCGCCTATTCTCAACAATATCTATGATCTGTCTCTTTTCTTTAATCCTTTCAAGCACTTCTTCGTTCCTTATTTTGAAGTGCTTGAAAGGGTTAAAGAAATTGGCTACAACAAAGCAAAAAAATGAAGTTTAACAAAGCGCTCTCAGTCTATCGCATAAACCATCGTTCAATAAACGTTGCGCTAATGAGTCCTCGCACTTGTGAACTTCACAGAATTCGTAATAGCATTTCTTATTGTTGTCACCTGTAGACTCGGTAATTGTGTTGACTTTTTTATTGATAGAACCAATTTTTTACTTCAAACAAAAGCAACACAATTTTAACTTTATTCTTTTTACAGAGTCGAATTCATGGGTACCTTTGTCCTGATTATTTTGGTCTCCAAGCATTCTGAAAATTGAGTAGATGGATTTTTTAAAATATATACATATATTAAAAAGAAAACACCCAGACCGATACAAGCAATTATTCCTTCTATTACCTAATGTTTTCATTCTCTTTCAAAATATGGCGGACAAATATATTATAAACATTTCGTAAGATTAAATATCATTTTAAATTGTCAGTTATCGACCACCGAGAATATATACTTATTAAAGTACTAATATCACTCTTAAAATATATATCTCTTAATCCTCCCAAATGGTACATACAGAGACTGTATGATCTCTATAGTGATGTTTTTTATTATACGGTGGCTTCCACTTATGATAATATGCTATATTTTTGCTACAAAAAAACACTAATTATATTTATATTTCTTTCAGGTCGGAGTTATCAACAAGCACCGCAACGCTACTATCATGACGCTGCACTGGTGGATGCATTGGTTCTGGGTTACGACGCTGCTCATTTTACTCAGTAAGTTTCAAAAAGCAACTTAAACAACAAAATTATCTTATACATTAACGACTTAGCTCTAGATGAGAATTGTACGCCGTAAAGACATTATGAAAGGTCAAACTGTAACATTAAAAGCATTTAGTAACTAACAAACCCGACATTTAATGCTTTTACATATTTGAGTAATCCTAGACATGAGTAGACTCTGTTATGTACCTGTATATACATGCATACTAATATGCCAATGCATTTAAATTTAAAGTGTTATCGGAATCGAAAACTGTTTTCGGATCTATTTTCCGTGTCATGACAGAATTTTTTTGCGAGCTGCAGTCCTAGTCAGAACGCCAGCAATAATATCGAGCACTAGGTAACCTTCCAAAGACATGTGTAGACTATCAGCAAGGATTCAGACGTCACGAATACATCCGCTATTCGAACGGTTTCTATTTGAGCATACAGAAATAATATCAGTGGTAAACCATAGCTAGTAGACCTAAGCGAACGTCTAAAAGATAGCGCACTATGTCAAATCTGGAATCATAGAAAACGGTTCTTTACCCGCATTGTCCAACAGACGTAGACCCTTAAGCAATCATGATCTTGACATAGATCAAGGCTTGCAACACTTTAGCAGCCTTCTCAAACAGTTACATTAGCTGGTGAGTCCACTCAAGGGTAAACAGATTGGTACTAGTGGTGGACTATTGGCTCCGTTCCTTGCAATATTCCTGTTGCATTTATCAAGATGGGCTAATTGGACAGTGTTATTGTTAATCATATTATTATTATCCTCCACTGTTACCCCGTCAGCGTATATATGTATACCATTAATGCAGTCGGATATATTATTATACATTTATTTTTTAACATGTCGAAGACCGCATTGAAAAATCTTATTTCTCACATAGGGACCGGCATTTTTTTTTATTATTATTAATTACGTTATTTTTTAAGTTTTTAGTGTACAATAGTTTGAGGTAGACATTATTTAACCCCTAGATTTGTTTCAATTAAAGTGCTCACGGCTGATTACCTAGTCCCAACGTGTAAATTTACTATCTTTGCGGAGTGACCAACCGGTGGCATGCGGTTTTCAACGTCTTAAAAAATCATTGCTTCGTATCGTACAATGATGACTGATAACCATTCAAAGCAACTATTAAGGCTTTAACTAAAGCTGAATGTGATATGTTCCAGACATGAAATGACGAGCTCTCGTATTTGAATTCAAGCGATGTCCCTATTTGCATATATTATATTACATCTCATATACTCAACACGGTTCTCGTATTTGAGATAAAAAGATCAAAGGGCGTTATTTAATATAAGATCTATATATTTTATTCAAATGTTCTTGTCAACCTACATTAGAGAGCACGAATTTTTGAATTGTAGTGTATTCTTTTGTTTGGCCGAGAGGAATGTTTTTACTAATATTATTAAAGTAATGGTCTGTATCGCTTATAAAGTACATAATAGCTTTCAAATCAATGCCTGCAATGGTCTCAGACTCCGGCATTCCCATATACAAAAACTTACAAAATTCACACTCTTTTAAATAACTATACGAATAATTACTATAGATGTGAAATATGTATATTTATTTGATTGTTTTATGTATTTGTTGTTGATTTATTTGATTAACATTGATGTAGATAATTGACTCAAATGATCGGAACTATACTATACGAATAATAGTGTTATTCGCTTGAACATTACCTACACTAAATTTTTATTCCAATCAAAGATCTTTCCTTCACATGAACGAGAGTAATAATTAGTAGTAACCTAAATATATCATGTTACTGAATGAAATAGTAGTAATGATTCAGCATACGTGCGTTACTATACTAAACAACTTTGTGTAGCGCCAACCAAGTTCTAATAATTGGATTTTGTGCTTAGATAACTATACATTATTGGCAATGGAGAGTTGGTCGATAATCACAGCAGTGAGGGTCCTATTCCAATTAATTGGCTTGATAAACCAGTCACTCGAGCTCACTTCTAAAGAGAGTGGTTCTATATTGATATTCGCAGTAATTACTTGGTATTAATCTGTAACCAGACTAGGATGAAAACATTCCGTTTATAATAAACTAAGAATACTTCGATATAATTATATTACTAATAATTTAAGATACTAGCCTAGTGGTTTACTACCCTGATTCACACCCAAGATATAGCCAGTTCAAATCCATCCGACACCGACACCGACACCGACATCCTTTATGTGTAATTAAATTTCTGAATCACTCTTCGGTTAAGGAAACGCTGATATCAAAACCGAGATATAAATCCACAAGATTCACGTACGGCCCAGTCACTGTTATGACTTTTTTCTATATGCGTGTATTATGACTTAAGGTAGAATGGCAATTAAATATTTTTACCTCAGAAAGTTGCCACCACTTTAGCGCATTCAGTCACAAGATTTTAACCTTATGTGCAGGATGTTAGGCACAAAGGAAAATAGGTGGGCCATAGTCTGGGATGGTGTTCCGCAGTTTCACCTAATAAAGCCTCTATAAGTAGTAGCAGCTAACTCTCAGTCACCATGGAGTGACACTATCTCAATAATTATTCTAATCATCTGTACCCTTCTTTAGAAGTGAGAGAATTTTCGTGTTCGTTCTAATAGAAACGGTAGGTGTATGATAATGAGCTGTATAGATTAACGAAACATTTTTTTAAATCCCACATACAAAGATTACATAAACACAATATACTCCTGCGACTTATCGGTCTGTATTTATATCTTTTCGTACCCCCTGCTAGGTTATTGTGGTCGATTTGATGGCTATCAAATGGTGATCAAAGTTTGGTCACCTAACGCATGGTGCATTAAGATCCTAATGTATAAAGCGGGCTCACATTATCAAGTTTAGACTCGACGGCACTTAATTATTTTATTCTATTCTAGTTAATGCAAGAAAAATAACACCTTTACTGGCAACCCCATTTAACATTAATAAAAAATATTTAAATGTTTAAATGATTTTTCGAGATAGAAGTAATAAAATATGTCTTATGTAAGTACATAGTAATAAAATGACAAGAAGCCGCAAGTTGGCATAAAAAAGAACCCAAATCATGTCTTCTCCAAACACCCATTCAATATATCACACCTTTAATAATAAACTGCAGTAACTCAAATATCGCAGGTTTTCGAAATTAGACTTTAATCGATCCTATTTAGAGTCGATTTTCCATTTTTTTTTTGTTAATGCCAAGTGCGATATGTACGAGTGGATTTTATATATATAAATCCTGCTCGTAAGTGCGTCGAGAAAATAATTTATATCTCACTTTCAGAGCATTCTCGGAACTCGTTTCTGTTTATTTTATGGCCACGATGTAGGCGTTGAAATTAATGAGTTTTTCTTTGATGTCCTAGGGGTAGCTATTTTCAATCGAAAGGTATAAATTTAAAAATAGTTTATTGTTATTTATCGATACAATACATACAAATAAATGAAATTGAAGTGTCTATTTGTAATTGCAAATTAACAGCTTTTTGCAAATGTACTTACATACATATATATATTTTCTGTCTGTTTGTTCTCGCTTATCTGTGAAACGGCTAGGCCATTTTTAAAAGGACTTTCATTCGTAGATAGATAATATTATAAAAAATAACTTTTATTTTAGAAATTATATCGGGATTACCTATTTTAAAAATTATTTATTAATGTAGACCTTTTTTTACTTAAGCATTTTTTTGTATTAATAGTTATGGTTTTCTCCTATCATCCAGTTCAGTTTCAATTGAGAAGAACTGACAAAGAAACTTAATTAATTTGTTTTTTTATAATCACTTTGTTAATAGTTTGGTGTCTACCTAACATTCAATTGAAAATACCCTACAACTAGTGTCATGCACATTTACCATTTAAAGTAATCGTTTAGTAACAGGCGTTACTCTGGAAGTATGTTTTAACAGAAGTTTTAAATTTATTTAATTATATTTATTAATGTAAAGAATGTCCTTTAGTTAAATGTTATCTTGGTAAATGCATTCCACACGCCCTGTTATGTCATGTAGTACATACAAAGAAAATTGTCGCATTAGCGTCGCTCTTGCATCGCAGTGTCGATCGTCCCAGCGGCGTTGTGATGAAGCCTTCATATAGTAGTTTAACCATCTGTTGCATTTACCAATAATTATTCCCCCAATATCATTTAGCGAAATAAATTCCCTCCAAATATTGCATTATGTATGTTACCAGAAAGACGTTTCGAAAATAAAATGGATTAACGTGCAACGACAAATTCACGCTTGATAAATTCCAGACTCGACTCTTGAGTAGTGTATTTATTATTCAACTGAACCTTTTCAGATCGTTCTCGACGAAATATGATTATTTCCTCGCCCTGTTTTGAGTTTTTTGCTCATCTCTCTTTGGTAGATTAATGGATAATGATGGAATTATGTTTTCGCCTGCGTTAACGGTATACTCTAGCGAAGTACCAGTAGAGGATGATGATATGTCTATATTTAGTTAATTACACGTTATATTTTAACATCCTTAGCTAGAGAGAGACCGTCTTCTTATCATTCCGTAGATTCACAGTACGGAATGAACCCATTAGGATATAGGTACCTCCGAGCAGCTCCCGGGATTTGTGACCTGTAGGTTTAAGGGGTCCCTGAGCTGACGTATGTCATTACTCACCTTCATCGCTCGTGTTTCTCTCCTTTCCCAAACAAATTTGGTAGGAACCTGCTCCTACAGCTTTAGACACACGTTCTAATATAAAACCCACTACTAGATAGGCGAATATATTTTAGAGAGATTTTACTGATACCTCTCGCTCCCACTTTAACCGCATATAAATTAACCACATAGCCATTATTCGTTAATTCCTTTATTAGTTCGTTCATTCCTATAATACTTCTTTGTTTTCATTGCATTGCATGGTCTTTAGTTATATTTATTTCTCATGGTACAATGAGCTCTTCCAATATTCTGTTAAGAAATGTCTCAATTAAGAAAAGACGTAATAAAATCGAC